TTCGGTCTCCAACAGGGATAAATTCCCCCCCCCCCCGCCCCCCAAATGACTGCAGCGCATCACCGGCTCCTCTTCCTTCCTCGCTTGCCAAACGTAAACTTTTGCAGCATGTAGTAAAAGGTCAGGCGTCCCAAAGATCCCACTGAAATCATGTGGGTGTGCCATCTCCGTGAGCCCCCCCTCGCCTGAGAGGCATCGAAGAAGTCCAGCTTGCTCTTCTTATCGCTCAGGAGTGCGATACCCTCTTGGCAAGGCACTAAGTATCTGCATTTTATAACTCTCTTGAACAGTTCAAAACTATTTAAGCACTGCAGGTAGGCTGGAACAGTCACAGAAGTATTTCATATCGTGACAAAAGGATATTAATGTAAATATCTGACGAAATGAAAGGAGAATCTAATCTGGCCAGCTTGCAATGAGTGTGTCGCATCAGTCTCAAACCAAACATCTACACGAGGCCTGAAGACGCTGCAGAAGACCGCGTGCGCTGGCTGCCCAGCTGCCTGGCAGTTCTGTGCTCTACCATGTTTCTCCAGACTGTTTTCTAAGTGCTGGGAGAAATGAGGGCTCAGGCTTCCCCAGGCAGCAGCACTAAATTTCTTCCTTTTGTATGGTTCAAAAGGGAGAATTTCTGACGTTGCTCAATCGTAGACCATTTACAGGTTTATAAACAGTAACGGGTGCTTTGCCTTCCCTCCATAAAAGATCTGCAGGCAATGCATAATCTGACTTCTTTGGTGTTTTCCTGATGAAAAATGCTATTTTTGGCAGGAACTCCTGTGCACAAGCGACCGCGTTTTGAAATGGAGTGGAAATGAGGCACTCTAGTTTTATTCCAAGGTGAAGTAGAGAAAGTCAGTGATGGGCATGGATAAGTGTTTCTCCTTCCTACATTTCTTGAGGTAAACACTACAGACGCGGGACTTCACAGGGAGATGAGGATAGCTCATTTGTTCTTTCGCTCTGTAAAATCATGTTTGTGTCAAAGGCTGGGATTAATACATGTCTCAGAAGGCCTGCGCAGCATTACCTTTCATTTCTTGTCTTTCAAGATTAATCTCAGGTTAAGTGAATTTCTAGTTAATGGTCAGAGGCAATTCAAAGCTGGTGAAACCATCATGAGAGACAAAAGCCAGCATTTCATATACATCCAAAGCTTAGAGCTGTTAACAGCTCTCCTTACCACAGATGAGATTAATACTTTTTATCTCTTTTTGTTTTTCTTTTTGTTTTTTTTTTAGTTGTAGATAATTTTGACAGGAGAAATAGTCACCTGTCCCTAAAGGAAAGGTTATGTTTTCTGGTTCATGCTTGCCAGTCAGCATCATTGCCATATTATCCGTATCATGTATGACAACTGGTCGGCCTCCTTCTACCGGTCCCTCATGGACGCTGGGGGGAGAAGGGTGTTGGTGCGTCTGAATCTGCTAAAACAGAGCCGTAGAGTTCAGCATTAGCATCCTGAAGGTGTTGTAGCCCACCCCCCATCAATCACAATAGCTTCACTTTAATACTGAATGAAAGGGAGAGGAGACCTGTGCCTCTGGGACTTGGAGCCGAGAGCTCTTGTCAAGGAGGAGTAGTTGCCCTCTACCCCCAGTCCCCACCCAGGATTTCTCAGATGGGGCTGAATTTCATCTGTGCTTGTCAGATGCTACAGTTCTTTTAATGTGTGTCAACGCTGGAAGCGCCGCGTATCTGGAAGAGCTACCAGAAATATCAAAGCTGCCATACATCGCTGTAGAAATGGAGTAACAGCAACAGCAGGATCTTCTCACAGAGTCAGATACATACTTCTTTCTGAAGATGAAATGGTACTGGCTTTGCTTTGCTACTAATTTATTGGTGATCAGGCAATTGCCCCCCCCTCCAAAAAAAAGGAGGAGGCAAACATATTAGCGCTATGGTTTTTGTGTTTTTTTAAGAAAAATCCATGCATGCCAAAATATAAACTAAGCACACAGCTTTCCAGTAGCTATCCAAAACTATGTTCCACTTCACAGGTTGCTGAACAGAAATCCAGAGTATTTCAAGGCACCCAAAACGGATATTGGACAATATTTAATCAAGGAAGCATATTGTTTTTAAATCTGCCCCCCCCTTTTTTTTTCTTGATTACCACAGTGGTGAAAATTGAGAGACTAAGTGTCACAGGTTCATCTGGAGTCAGCTCAAACGAAGGCATGTTGGTCACAGCTTAGCACCACAAACAGCTTAATTAGTGCTTGAAAACTAGAAAATTGGAAAGCTCCTGCTCTGCACCTGATGTGCCATACTTCGAATGGGACAGTCACTATTTTGTTCTTTGGTGCTTGGCAAAGAAAATAGAGACCCGATTTGTGCCTGAGGTTTTGACATGCTACTATGGAGTAGTTATAACTCTGTAGGCGTGTACACCTTTCCACCCACTGGCCATTCGGTTACTGGTTTGCCCAGGTACCATCCTCAAACAGGGGGAACTGTGCGGCACCCCGCTGGCAACCGCAGCGGTAGCAATTGAGTAGCAACTCCCGCTCCCAGAAAGGCAGTGGTAGTTTTAGCTCCTGTAGGGGCAGTGGTAGCTCCAGCTCCGCTCCGTGCTGGGTGCCCCTTCTTCTCCTGGTGCGCAGCCGACTGCCAGCTGGATCGCTTCTGGCTGAGCGCCGAGGGGCTGCAGAGCGCGCTGCGACCCCCCGCGACGCCTGCTTGGACCCGCCGTTAGGCCCCCTCCTTCGCAGAACATCGGCGTTCTGCTTCAGCAGTCTGAGACTCTTCAACTAATACCAAACTTCTCCTTTTAAGCACCTCTGGTGGTATGATGAGGTGTGACCAATGTCTGTCTCCAGTCATCCTTTGAAGCTCTCGTGGAAGTTGTTTAATGGCTCCACTGTTCTGTCACTCTGCTGTAATCGAATCCTTGCGCATTTAATCAGGCATGGTACTAAATCCAATAACCGTGCTGGTGGAAATACAAAAACTCCTCCCCTTCTGCCTTTGAGATGGCTAATATTTCACCCCCATTATTATGTGACTTCTAAGAAATTGTCTTCAGTTACTATCAATTAAAACACACAGAGAAGCTGACTTTCTGATTTTTTTTTCCTGAATAATTCTATGAAAAATTAATACATGGTAAGTTTTATTTTGGGTGGAAAACAAGGGAGTGATACTTCACAAATGCAAATGTGAGCAGCTTGTCTGCAACTGCACTGGTAGGTTAAACGATCATTTTCAGGGATGGGACGATAAGATTCAGTTGCAGACAGACACAGCATGTAGGAGAAACCTGGATCGGTGGTACTTTAGGTTAGAGGGATTAAATACAACTGATGGCACAAAATAAACCTTTTCAAAATATTTCTGAAACACCTCTTAACCTCTTGATATTACCACGAAACATCTGAAGAGTTTATACCTCCACACAAAAACCTTGCCAAACTCAAATTTAACAGAAATAATCTTGAACAAGAACTTTCTAAACAACAATAATGAAAAACCCTTGGATGATAAATACGTTCAGATGAGTATCTTTTTCTGAACAAGCAAGAATTTGTAAAAGTAATCTCTACTGAAGAAGTTAAATGAAATCTGAGCCACAATATGTTCAGAAAAATAATCGTTTAGCTTTAACTAGAAATGGCTTAGATTTTTTTTTCTTTTCCTGTGTTTTACAGAAAATGAAAAAGAAATGGCAACCTTATTTTTTTAACCCACTATATTTTAAAGGAACCATATATTGGCTTTTAAAATTGATAATAAAAAGTGATTACAAGGAATGCAAGGAATCACATAAACTCTTGTTCTTTTATGTTTACATCTTAGAAACCACTTTGGGCTACTTTAACTGAATACTAAAAGTTGAGGGCCAATGTTTGCTTATGCCCAGTAATGCCTTTGCATCCCACGAACCTCAGAAGTGCAAGAGATACAGAGAAGTGAATTTAGATGACATTTTTCAATTTATGTGGACATCCAATTTAAAAACCTACAGTAGAACTGGAAAAAAGGGAAAGACCAAAAAAAATTCATAATTACTTTTGTGGACAACCCGTAATTATTATGATTTCACATAATGAAGTCACAGACAGTTTTGATTTGCTAGTCCTAAGAAGCGGAGACACCCTTTCCTATGAACTGTGTTTCTTCTGTTCTTGTGGAGCGTGCTGGGTCTCTAGGCAAGTTCTTCTCACACGCCTTTAGAAATGCAGTGTACGGTTACATTATTTGTGAACATACTAAATTTCGTGAGGATTACAACTGCAGCAGAAACTGAGTTACCCCAAAATGAATCTGCCACAAGACAGGCAGCTGAGTCCTCAGCAATGCAAATCTCATAGTTCTTGAAAAAGCAGTCAGAAGTTGTTCGAAATCCTCCGTGATGCTGAATGTTATTGCACACCAGACTGACTTGTAGTGTGAGTTTCAGTAGGCAAAGAGCTGCTTTAATTTGTGCAAGCAAAGAAGTACACCACAGCTCAATTGCATTTACTATATTTAACTATAGTTTTATATATATAGTATTTACTGTATTTAACTGTATCTGTCTCTATACTAATCACAGAGGATGTTACTTCATAAGATTTTTTTTTCCTGCATCTTTTTGTAGAAATTTCTTTGGCAAATCAGCATTTATAACTCTCTGTAGAAGTTTACAAGTAGGTTTTGATAAAATGTTAGTACAAAAACTTGTATTGGCAGGAATCTGCTTGAAACCAGAGATAACCAGCTTAAGGGTGAGGAAGAGTCTGCTGGGCTGGGTTCTTGCCTGAGGAGGTCACGCTCGCATTCAAAGGCCCCTTCTGCTGCACGTGCTTCCAAGCACTTCAGCAGTGCCTGTCCCATGCTACAGAGTCAGTGGGTCTGTTTTGGTCTTTCCTGCTTTCCCTGGATGGCTTCTCTTCGCATCAAGGATGAACAGTCCGGATCAGAGAGAGAGCTGGAGGTTGGACTTGGGTCCCAGATCTGCAGCATGGGATTGGCCCACCCGCAGGTGTTCAGTCCCAATATTTTGCAAGAGAACTGCCTTTTTAAATGTGAATTAATTAAAAATGATCTTACTACGCTTAAGCTACTCGTAAGCAGATAGAAATCATTTAGATGTGGATGTCGGGCGTCTTGGGAGCATCCCCCAGTCCCCTGACTGTTTGCTATTCCAGATTCTGCAAATTAAGTTTTCCTTCTGTGAGTGTCGGAAAAGGACTGTTGCTTACTCAAGGTGGGGTTGCAATACTTTTGAAAGATCTTGGTATCACCCTAGTGCACAATGAAGATAAATTCTGGAATGATGAGATTACTCACTAACCAGCATTCTTGTTTTCCCAGCCAGTTTTGTCAGTCGTGCTCTTTGTACGAGCCATCTGCTTCTTTTACAGACTTCTCGGCCGGGGTTTTTCCATTTCTTAAATGGTGTGAAGCACCGACTTGTGAAGTGCCCCGCAGTCTTACCCAAGGTTTAGCCATGGTTACACCCTCCCCCCTTCTTTTAGTCAAGTGGTTGCCAAACACCACATGGAATAATTAGGTTATGAATCATTTATTTTCCAGATTTTTGCTTTCTTTTTAGCAAAGTTCAATTCAGAACAATTTTGTTCGAGGCCTGAGTCAAACCAGCCTGTCTACTTGGGCAATGCCTACAGCAAAATGTCGGGCATCTTAACAGGAAGAAAATGAACATAAATGTCTGTATTTTCCACACTGTCAATGGAGAGACGTGGGTGCCTCTAGCAGCATGAAAAAGAATCACAGAATCACAGAATCACAGAATGTCAGTCCCTCTGGTGTTTGGTACTGCCTTCCCTTCAGGTCGTCTGCAGTTCTGCTACACATCCCTCTTCTCTGCTCTGACTTCTGGGAGGACAGGAGGAAATCCCAGCAAATGGTGCTAGTGACCACTTTTTGCACCACACTGTGGCGGTGATATTGCTTATCCACATAGTGGGAGGATGGGCAGCTGTACCCTGCTTTGTTGGGCCAGCACCTGCATCCTAGACCATCCAAGTCCTCAGGCCATGGAGTGCCCTGAGTGAAAGCACTCTCCAACCTCCTAGTTCACTTTCCATCTGACACAAAGACATCGATGGGGCCAGCAGGACAATAAGCAAAAAGGACTCCTTCCCCTGCCCTCCTGGGTCAGGCTTTCAGAGGGGACACAGCTGCTGTTCTAGCTGGGTGCCCTGGAGCGCACGTGCTGTTTCCAAGCAGCCTTGGATGCAGGGATGAAATCCCTGTCCTGCTGCCTCGCAGACGCGTGCTGTAATCACTGGCTGCTCTACGTCTTGCATTCCTGGCTGTGCAGTGTCTCTGTTCGAAGGAGAGAGATGAAAAATGCTCTTGTGTAAGAAATCGAGTGGCTTGCTTGTTTTCAGCTTTCATCTTGGATTTGGGCATGGTCCATCTCGTGTTGTCCAGATTAATGGCGTTATCATGCTGGATGAATGCTGAATTCTGACAATTTTCAGACTTCATTATCAAATGTAAC